TATCATGTCGAATTATACGCGTTACAAGCCGTTTGTCCGGGTCACCGGCTACATTAGATATTCGGCGAGATACATGAATTAATCGCCTTTTTATTAACTGTTTTAATTTCGCCTAATATGGTATTTCCGAAACATCTTATCGCTTCATTTTTATCGCGTTTTACCGCTCAACTATATAAATTCACGTATTTTCTATTATTACAACGACTACAGCAATATTTACGTACTGCAATTATATCTAACAGTGGCGCCACGTGTTATACAAACGGGCACAGAAGTTTAAATGACCACCCTTAATGTTTTATTTTATCAATTTCGAACGTCTAGGTACTACTTATTTGTCTAAAGCTTTCTTACTCGCAATTTTGTTAGACAACTTTTCACCATCTCCAGATTTGAATCAAAATCAGTTCAAAATTCCTAACCTACCAATAGAAATTAATAGAAAATTAAAAACCGCGGTCACGTGCTTCCTGTGACTATTAATATAAATAATGTATTTAGCATTTGCATTCAGTTAATCATCAATGTACCTACTCAATAGATATGGATATTCATAAATGTAAAGACAACTTCTTCAAAATAAAAACCACTTATGCGTATCTGTTATAAATATGTCATTAATACCTTTATACCTAACTTTATGTGTTTAGGGTCGTTTGGTAGGCTGGTATTACAGTAGGTATAGTAGATATTTAAAGAAAAAGATGATGACAATAATTTCCTAAAACGGGAAACGGCGAAAAACCGCTAGACATCTGGCGAATGTGGGAGCTGTAAAACATCATTAACGTTGTTACTAGTTTTATTGCTTGCCGAGTTGTATATTGGTACATAACGTCGGTACTTAAAGCAATTTGAACAAAAATTATAATGGCCAAAAGAAAACGGCTCGCTACAATGTAAAGTAAAGGAATCACGTAAAAATTATTAGTGTCTAACAATTCTTGAATTATTAAATAGCTTCAGCATTTTTTACGATCTGATCTTAAATTTTTAAGTCTCGTTCTGAGATATATTTGAGTGTATAAGCCGTAAATAATGCCGTTCTTAATAGCCGCCCTTATAATCGAACAGCCCTACCACGACTGAAATGACTGAAAGAATTACAGCCAGTCACCCCAACGTTGGGGTGGTCACTTTAGAAAAATAAGGGTGGGATTTGAAAAAGTAGAAGGGACACACTTTTTTCTGACAGGATCTAAGATAGGGTGGTTCGGAGGGGAAGCAGGAGAAGAATGAGTAGTGGGGTAGCAAGCGAAAAAAAAAAATGGAAGGGACTGACAGTATCATTCGGTCATTCACAAAACAATCGTGAAACATCTGCCTTCTTATACAATGGTTTATAGCAGGGGTGGCCAACAAGTCGATCGCGATCGACCGGTCGATTGCGAGGCCAATTTTCATCGATCGTCGATTTTATTTATCTACCCATACCTATACCTCGCTGGAAAGCTGTTTATACTGAAACACCAGTATACAAATATAGTATGCATTTCACACCCCTTCTAAACCCTTATTAAACTAGGCCTACGATAATAAGTAGATCGCGACACACTTTTAAGTGGTTACCCCTGGTTTATAGCATTTCGACAAAAATATTGTATATTATTTTAAAAATAAGGATTCTTTTTATCGTTTCATTAAGACCAAGGATATATGTAGCAAGATTAAGATTTTATACCTATTCAGGGGTGTAGGACATTGAAAAACTTTTTATGAATCCCTCGAAATGTGATGTTGTAGCGTGAATAGAGAAGGTTAGAAATTAGAAAGAATAGGAGAACAGAAGACTATGCAAGTTAATAAACAATAGGTGGGATAGGTTGATACGACACCTTCTCAGGCATGAAGGTCTAGTCAGAGACATATTAGAGGCGGAAACAGGAGTATAGGTAGACCTAGATTAGATTACTGTTAGCAAATAGTTAAGGATGTGGGAAGTTCTAGTTTTAGAGAAATGCGAAAATTAGCTCAAGATAGGAAAAGGGGAAGGACTGACGACCTTATAATGATGATGAGTGGTGTAAGATTCCTGGCATTATTTCCTACTATTCTCTTCCTTAAATGTAGTTTACAGATGTATGACTACTATTTGCAATTTTTTTGTCTGTTTGATGACCCCCTTCCAGAATGGGTACGGCCAGGTATAAAAGCGAGCAATAACTTTTCGATAACATAAGTCTCCTAGCAGAAGTTATGCCGTCTACGCCAAGATGTTGTATATCATTTTATTTTTCCCAAACGCGTATCCCATTCTCTAACATCTGCGGCAATAATTTTTTCCTCTCTGTCTACGGACCAAGGAAAAGTTGGCACAGGCTTGACAGGAAATATTTTTAGGTTTGGTGAATTGGACCGGTTGCCAATGAATCCTTTGGAAAAACTAAAGTTATTCTTGTTCGTTTGCCTCTCGCGCCATCTAATACAACTTGAACATTTTCTTTGTCGTTATTTATCTATTTTTGACCGTCAGGATATGCATGCAATGATTATCGTCACCAGTTTACGTTTTTAAGCACTTTGAAAAAGTTTCCAGTGGCCAAACTGAAAACTAATTAGTTACTTTACATAACAGATATTTTTTTTTCAAAATAAAAACTAATAAAAATAATTTTTTTTTGATTTCATGAACTTAAAAGAAGATTTTAATGTTCTTAGGTACGTTTGGAAAAAAGTTTTGTTTGAAAAACTATTTCGTAGTGCTTTGTGTCGTCCGCTACCGACGCTGCGTGGATGTTACTGACGGCGTCCGTGGTGCCGCCGCCGCCGCCGGGCCGCGTCATAAAATTAAGAAACAATAACGGGGACCCGTAAAAACGCACCCTCTCTGAACGCGTGCTGCCTCCCCTCCGGTGGTGGGGTGGTTTAAAAAAGGGCAAGGAGTAAGCTTTTTTCGTGGCGATACGTAGAGGGGAGCTAGGTTGCTCCTTAAGACCGCACATGCGCCCCTATAAGATACAATTCTAAGGTTCAGTCATCCTTTTCCTTGGCGCTACACTTCTATTACCCTTTTTCACTTGCAACCCTTACGCGGTCTATCCGTCCTCGTCTCGCGCGCACTTCTTGCATATGGCGCTCCTTCTCGTTCCTTGCGAGCGTTTTGAGCGCGTCTCTCTTTGGCACGTTAGTCTTGCATATATCGCGCCTTGTCTCCTCTTTTCTACCCTTATTTTCTTAGTCTGAAGGCGTCGTTTTCAGACGCTGGTCGTCTTTTCCGACGGCGTCGTTTTCTTAGTTATCTGCCGCCTTTCTTGTCGCTTAGACGCGTCGCGACGTCGGGTCCCGGGAACGCGCACTTCAAGAACACATCATCAACCCCAAAAAGTTTACCAAGTCGAAGACGGAAGTCGACGGAAGATCTTTAAAAGTTTTACAGAAGTGGTTTTTTGCCAGTTCTTTCTCGACGCGGCAAGAAAAAGTTTTTTGAATTTCGCGCCGGTTTCGGTTCGAAACTTGTGTGTGATCTTCGTTTGTTTTGGTGCTAAGTTACATAAGTTTCAATTTTGTGCAATATTTTCTCAAGTGTGAGTAACTCATTGACTTTCCCTCACGTAGAACTTTAGGGCTTAGACGTTAGGGCTCGAATTCATCATAAATTCTAATACGTAACTTTGCAAACTTCAAAAAAAAAAAAAACGTTTACTTTTTTACAAAAGCCTATATAAAAAGAAATTAAAATTTTCAAAAATGACTTTTCCTAAAAATGAAACTTTCTTATCTTGTTGATATCTGTTGTCTGAAACAGTTGGTAACGTCAAATTTCTAAGGAAGATACAAATTCCGATGAAGTATCAATTTTTATCAAACTAAACAACGAAACCGTGTAATAAATGATAAGAAATTATAATTGTAGTAACAATGACAGGAAGTTATCCTTAATTTTCTAAAACATTTTCCGACCAATTTTTTAAAGTTCGCGAAACCACCTACAGTTGAATCATAAGATTTTCAAGATATTGTTAAATAACAGTATGAGCTTTTGTTTTTAAACAACTTCACACAAACGACAAAAATAAGCATAATTCTCAAAATTTTACAAATTATATGTTTATTGCTTTTGTTACTACTTTTCACGTTAGAAGAAAGCAGTTATCCTAAAAGTTATTAGACTTTTCTAGACACTAATTAAATTTCAAATTTATTACTAATTTTAAAATAAATATCTAAGACAATTAAACTATTAGTCGTGGTGTATCAATAGAAATTACTTTTCAATAACTAAAAATTACAAAGTCCTACATGCTGTTTATCCTAAAAATTGTTGTTAGCTTTTATTAGACAACATTGATTAAACAATTCGAATTTCTGTTAATATAATATAACACTGAGATTATAGGCTGATAATTTATGTTGTTCTTATTCTATGACGTTGTATTCCTCCCGTCGGAAGGCATCGAAGTAGGCGCAGATCCTTTAGAAAGGACCTTCTGTTATGTATGTGTATGATCTTTTAAAGTAAAAACTTTGTAAGAATATATTGTTGATTAACAATTTCGATTTGGAAAATATAAATCAAATTTAATCAAAAAATCGTGTCAATTAATTAAGATTAAGATTTGCTCCTTACGTTTTTCAGGATAAACTCGTAAAATATAGCTTTAAATTTAAAGGTTGTTATTTAGAAAGTCAAAATTAAATTAAATTGTTTGATATCGCGATTTTGTTTTGAAAATTGTCTTCATTTTAACAAAACAGTTTCCATGAAGAGTGTGTTAGATGTATAACTAGATTTATTAGAAATTAATATTTTTCATGTTTTGATAATTTAATAAATGTGAGAAAATGCATCAAAAGATTTTTTTTGCTGACACATGTCATTGTTTGTTGCATGTAATTGTTCTGCTGTTTGCATCATCTGACCAATCGAATATCCTTTTTTTAAAATGTTAATGTCTGCCCTTATGTGTTAAGCATATATTGTACTTATTTCGTTCTCTGATTTTTTGTTTAACCGAAACTACTCGGTAGGTAATTGTCTAATAGACAATACGTTTCAGATCTGTCAAGACGCTGGCTGTTCGAAGGCTTGTATTAGTACAGAGGGTTACCGAATATAAGGAACCAGCTGTCGCAGAAAAAAAAGCCGTGAACGAGAGATAGAAAGAGAAAGATAATCACCCCTTTTTTACACGGACATTCACGTGGGTAGTTCTTCCTTAGTACTCATCTAGTCGCCTGGTGAACGAAACAATACGTAGTGACTTGCCAAGCATACCTGATCCCGAAGTGCAATAACAATCACGATCACGAAACAAATTCACGGTGCTGTCTGGAAGAGGCAGAAACAAAAATAGAAAGCGCAAGCTACGTGATTTTTTCGCAAAAGTTCCAGAATACCCGTAAAAATTTTCACCACGGAGGACCAAACACTGCTGAGCAACATAAAAGTCGAACATGAAAATCTCGTAGCCAAGTGGTTGCAGAATTCGATAAAGATCCAAGAAAACGCAGCCCTGGATCTCCGAGCTACCCCCCTCAGCTTGCAAATACCCTCCATGGCCGACGTGAAGAATCGGCCGGTCTTCAACATGACCAACGACTTCTGGAATCAGGCTCGGGGACCGCCCCAGAACATCGCTCAGAACCTTTCGAACCAAAATTCCCCGGTCCCTGGCTCGACCAACTCCATACCAGCTCATTCGCCGTCGCCTAGCCAGAACCACGTCATTACCCAGGGGGCCTTAGCGCTTCAACAGGCGCAACAGCAAAATCAACAGCAACATACTGCGCAGATGCAACAACAACAACAACAGCAGCAGCAACAGCAACAAGCTGCTCAGCAACACAATCAAATGGGCCAATCGCAGAACGCCGTACCTCAACAGCAACAAAACGGCACTCAACAATCAAACAATGCCCAACAGCAACAACAACAACAACAGGGCAATGCTCAGCAACCACAAATGGGCAGCCCTACTGCTCATCAACACGCTCAGGCACAAGCCCAGGCTCAGGCCCAGGCACATGCCCATGCTCAGGCTCTCGCTCAAGCCCAGGCGCAGCAGCAACTTGCGCACATGCAACATCCCCTAGCACCAACCACCCCCGATAAGATGACCGAAAAGTTTGTTTCCGATTTGCAGGTAGGTTGAGTTCTTTTATTCTATTACCATTCTATTTTGTATTACTAAAACAACTACAATTACATCAAGACACATTTAAATCCACACGGTTTCGAATTAAGTAAGTACTTAAAAAAAGAGCACATTCTGCTAATTCCTATTCAATTCAAATGCGTACACGTTCTTACACGTCAAATCACCGCAACCTAATATGTCAAATTGTCAACCATTATAACGGACATTTATTTAAATTCTGACTTGCTCTAGATTGTTACAATTATTGCATACACGACCTTCTTACTGATTAAATTATTATTTGCAATTCATACTTACACTCTGGTATAGGTACTTTTTAGCTATGCGCACTAATCGCAAGATATCTAAAAGCATGCCTATGAAAACCGACGCGAATAGGTAATTCCATACGAAAAAGTTTTAGTTAAAAATCCTATAACATAAACTTAATGTCGTATATGGTTTCTAAATAGTATTTCCTTATATAAATAAATAATTGGTTTGTCATTTTTGAAACTGAAAGTTTCTAATTGTAGGTCTGGTAAAATTACTTTCAACTTCATTCTTTTTGTAGGTATGCCTAATATGTTTAATAAAACCAATTCTAAAATATAACTCCAAATAAAACAAAGAGTGTTAAATATCTTAATTTAACGTTCAAACTATTAATTTATTCGAATGTATTTAGGTTCTTTATCGGTTTGGCATTGTTTCTTGAGACACCATGTATATTATAATTGTAATAATTAGAGTACTAATCAAAAAATTTTGAAGCTGTAAATGAATAATAGAGAAGGACCGTGTTATTTATGATAAAGAAAAAGGATAACGGAAAAATACTTTCGAGTTAGAGTTGTTAAGCTCTGTTGAAGTACGAAGGAATTCTGTTGATGTGGGTGTTACGACTTTTTAATTTTTTTTTGATGTAAATGAAAGCAATCAATAGCCTTAATCCACTATAAAATTTAAGATATTAACAGGAATGTTATTGGTCGTCAATTGAAATAAATTTCCTGTCAAAGATTAACGGTAATTGAAAGTAAACGACGATCGAACTCGCAACGATTGGTCGCATATTTGGTCAGCGGCATGCATACGAAACTTCCTTTAAAGGACTAGCACATGTGTTCGATTAACATATGTCGAAATTTAAAATAGGAAAGAAAAAGCAATTAACTGTTTCGCCAATACGCAAATAACATGCTGTTTTCAACACGTAATCGAGAGTTATTTCCTTGCACAAATGCAAATATGTGTATATTTTGTAGTTACACGTCTTCGTGTGTACTTTAAGTATTGATATGCGCCAAATGGTTTAACAGTGGGAGCAGATTCAGAAAAGGACACTAACATATGTAGCGCAACAATCAAAAGTCACTTAGTCTCACGACGATAACAATTATTGTATACTACAACCCCAATAATTAATGATTAAGGGCAAAAAGTAGTACAAATAATTGTTAAAATTATACAAATAAATATACATAGTTTTTGATGGAAACAATAATACAAGTTTGTAGATTTTCACAAATTAATATTGCGAAATAAACATAGAAAATAATACCATCAAAATTGATAAATATAATGAAAAATCAAACTTTTCGAGTTTCTAATTTCATGCGGATTTGGTCTCGAGTTATGTCGGACAAACTATTCGCAATTTTATGAAACGTCTATTAGAACACAAATATAATTGTAACAATAAGAATAAAGAAAATTCGGACTGTATTTCTATGCCATAGAAGAAAAGCATAAGTATTTTCAACAACACACACATTTAGAAAGTTAATCAACAGACTTAATTGAATTCCTACTAGATATTAGAAATGATAATTAGGTGAATATTAAAACGTTATGTAATAATAACAATTGTCAGCACACCTCACTGAAATTTATTTTACATGCCTATTAGCAATAATAATTTCAGAAAATCTACAATCTATCTCTTTAAATCTGAAGTTATATCATCGGACCTTAAATTTCTAATCATTCAATGACTTAAAAGATACATACACTTATATATTAGAGTTGTAATGTGTTCCGAGGACTATCTTAAAATGTAGACGCTTCGTTGTCGAGTCAAAACAAACACGCGTGATGATCAGAAAATCTCAACTTTTAAGGAACGCTGGCGCCACCTGCACATCGACGCCCGCGACGCCCGGCGTCGACTCAGTTCGTCGCATTTCTTTGCCCATTTGGTCAGAGATTTCTTCAGAAAAGGTTCAGAAACGGAGTGACTGTCGAGAGGGAAGGATATATCACGTCTACCCTTCCCATAATATTTTATCTACGCGTAATAATTTCTTAAATAAAATTCAATTCAAAAAATTAAGAAAACAAACTTCTAAGATAATAAATAAAACAAAATTCATTACAATTTAAGATCATCTTCATATATAGTCTAAAAATAGCAAAAATTATTAAGAAATTAATTTTTTTATGAGTAAGAGTAGTTCAAGTTCAAAATATTTTTTTTTGTGGTCAGGAGAGGCCAACAGCTACGATACCATTGTCAGACCAAACATACGTCTAAAACCCAAAACTACCGAACTCATAACAGCTTATGAATAATCAAACAAAATTTGATCATGTTTTCACCAGATTTATCTCATTTTGATGTTTGATGTTTTATGGACTATACAATTTTTACACTACACACAATCCCGTTTGCTTTATAGCCAGGGTCATAAAGCATTAATATAAAAGGGCCTTGAGCAGCATGACTCGTGGGCCAGAATTTTCTTAAATCTGCTCATGCTACTGACCCAACTATCGTACATTTACATAAACCCAATATTGAAAAAACCCGTTTGGCATTTGTCAATCGATCAATAATAACCTCAATGCTGATGACATTGAATGGAGCGTGACGCGGTTATCTATCAAATTCGTTTGTTTCATTAGATATTTCTAATCGATCCATACTTATAGAAATCCTCAAATCAATTATCTAATGCACCAAGTCGAGTACATTACCAATTTACCACCAATGCGTAGTTATTACTGTTAAAATATAATTATGTACTATGTAATGTATGTATGTCTGTAGTATTTGTTAGTAATTAGTCTATCTACTAATTAACTGTGTATATTAAACTTTTACTTTCTTAATTAACGCTGCCGGATTTCAATCAACTGCAAAGGAGTTCTTCTTCGGCCATATCGGAGAGGACTCTCGAAGAATGCTGGACCACGCTGCAGCGAGTGAGTTGGCTTCTATTCGATCGTGTATAGTATCGTCCTATTACTTATTTCCTTCTGTTTTCCTTCCTCCTAGCATTCAATTTTATTATTAGATAGATACCTATCATCAGTGCCTTCTTTTAAGGGGGTGAGGCTATAAATCCAGGTCTTAAAGAATCATAGATATCAGGGCTCATTTTCCAATTAAAAAATAATTTTTGTTGATTAATGATAATGTCATATAAAAACTGAAAATAAGAAAACTGATATTTATTTTCCTATTAAACTATCATCTTCAATAGAAAATAAACAACCTTAAGGGAAACCTCTATTCAAATTTTAGGCATAGTTCTCGCTTCCCTTAAAGCCGGCACTGTTTATCATCACTTTTTTATTTCGTTTCCGTTTGTTTGATTTGAAGTTGTCAGAGAAAGAAGGCCTTGGTTCGTTCTTCTGATACATGAAAACAATTTCAGTTGTTCATGATCTTCTTCGCGACTAAAACTGAAAATTGAGATTGTAGTTGTTGTGGTGGTAGTCCAGGCCTTTTTTATCATCATGTTTATTGCCTTTCATCAATATTCCGCGTATTTTGATTATTATTGCTCTTTTAGTTTTGCATGCCTGAATGTATATTTATCCTATTAACTGATTATGATAATAAGTAAAGGTATTGAAATGACACTTGGGGTATTGGAATTATATTGTCAATTTTAGATTATGGTAAGTATCTTATTTATAACAATAAAACACTTGAACACCTTTCATACAACACCTTACAAGTAATCGCAAAAAAAAGACGAGAAATTTTAACGGTTTATGTATTTGCAATAGGCTGTGTCTAGAGATAACATAACGTTGATAATTTCAAGAATAGGGTGCATCTATATTGGATGGTTTTATTATCAATAATAAATAAATCAATTGTTGAAGCTAATATTCAATCAAACTTAATTAAATCATTAAATCATCATATTAAAAACTAAAGGCGGAATCTCATCAGTCAATTTAATGTGATAAATCTCTTTAGATGGCATTGGTCTCGCTTTTAAACGGCAATTGTTTAGGAGCCTTCATAACCTCAAAATTTTCAATTTGTTGGAAACAGATTTGCTTTCATGGTGCCTGTACTTTATGACAGTAGACGATGAACACCCGGTATATTTTATTTGGTTCCATTATTGTCATTGCGATTATTGTACTTATGTTCGGCCATTTGCAGTGGGCCATGCACGCACATGCAGTGGCTGCATGAATCAACTCGTTATTGATTTCTTCCGAATCTTTCTATTATTTAACCGCTCGAAACTGCCCCAATCGTTCAACGTATATATGCATCATAATCGGCCGGGTTGGGGTGCGCATTTTTTTCTCTCCCCTTTGCCAAAACCAATACTTATTGACACCCTCCTAACCGGCACCCCATTTTTAAGGAAATTATACCCACCACTCGACCCCGCGGGGTGCATTTAGTGAGTAAACGCGGACAATCTGGAGCACACTCTTTTTTCTTTTTTTTTTTTATATAAAATGGAGATCATTCGTTCCAATGAAGGGATGCAATTCTGCAAGTGAAATATTGTGATTTAAAAAGAGGGTGCCTATGATTAGGAACCCTTCATATTGTCCTTAAAAATTACGAAACGTGTATTGATAAAGTAAATAATTTTTCGTTATTATTCATTACTGATATTTTTTAGAACTCTTGACTTCGGTTGTTTTTAAAGTTGTTGTTGAAAGGATTCGAGTCCTTGAAGGATGTCAGAACGAAGAGATTTAACTTTTTATAGGAACGGACGTCAATAAGAAGGTTATTTAGAATAAAAATTTGATTTTCACACTTCGCAACATTTAATTGACTTACTCGGCAAACAAAGGGTGACAGCAGTGAGTTTTTCGGGGCCGTTTGCCTTGATTAAAAAAGGTCGCCTTTTTAAACACGATAATAATTCTCGTATTTCTCGTCCCTCCACTAGCTACTACGCCGAAGAGAACACGTAGAATTCAGTGTCCTTTCCCTAATAAAAAAAAATTATACTTTTTCCATCATCATCATCATAAGGTCATCAGTCCTAAGACTGGTTGGACACGTACCTCCACTCTTTCCTATCCTGAGCTAAACTTCGCATTTCCCTAAAACTAGAACATCCCACATCCTTAACTATTTGCGAACAGTAATCTAATCTAGGTCTACCTCTACCCCTCCTAACTTCTGTTTCTGCCTCTAATATGTCTCTGACTAGACCTTCATGCCTGAGAAGGTGTTCTACCAACCTATCTCGCCTATTTTTTATTGACTTCCATAGTCCTCTGTTCTCCTATTCTTTGCAATACCTCTTCATTTCTAACCTTTTCTACCCACGATATCCTCATCATCCGCCTATAACACCACATTTCGAACGCTTCTAACCTTTTCTTTTCCGCCGCTCCCACTGTCCACGTTTCGCACCCGTATACGCCGTGCTCCAAACATACACCTTTAACAACCTTTTTCAAATTTCTAAATTAACCGTTCGCGAGCATAGAAGTGACTTCTTTTTATTAAAGGCGACACGACCCTGCTTTATATCCCTACTACTCCTTCCATCCTCACTTATCTGACTTCCTAGGTATCTAAAATCAGCCACTTGTTCTAATTTTTCGTCTCCTATCTTTATATTCGCTCTTTCCCTACTTTTTCTTCCCTTGCATACCAGTTTTACTTTTATTTATTTTCATACAGTACTGATCTGTCAGTACCGCTTCCATTTTAGTTGAAGCTTTTTCCATACTCGAACAATATTTAATGCTCCTGCAAGTTAACATATTTTTTTTGTCTAATGTAGAAAGTTAGTGTTGAGTTGTCTTACGAACAACAACCCTCTCCGACTCAAGGCAAAAAGGGTTTAATCGTCTTTTTCTGGGATCCGGCGATCAACGTGTTGATTTAGAAAAGCTAAAGGGGTAAAATATTGCCGGAAATGGCAGTGGAAGTAGCGACAGTCAAAAAACGCGACCGTTGAGGCGTTATTTATTGTGCGGTTTTTAAAGAGGTCGTTTAATCCGGTGCTTACGAATTGCACTCGCGCTGCTTCATTAAGAAAAAGATGCAACTTCAATCGTTTGTATAGACAATAGGTATCATGAGACTACAAAACTGCCAAATTTACGAATAACGATGCACAGAAGCCTTTATTTAGTTATTTCCGGTTCGGTGCAGGCTTTGATTAATCTATCTGCTATTTCTATTACCATAAAAAACAATAAACAATACATCAGTTTTGATGAAAAGGAAATAGTCGGGAAAGAGTGAATATAAAGATAGGAGACGATAAATTTGAACATGTGACCGATTTCCGATATCTAAGAAGTCAGATAACTCAGGACAGAAGGAGCAGCTGAGATATAAAACAAATTTGAGAAAGATTGGAATAATAAAGTTGGAATAAGGGTCTAATTCAAGGTTGAAGTCAAAATGGGATTGAAAATAGGATCCATGAAGGGTACATACTGACTACTCTAATAAAATTACTAGTTTTCTCATATAATTCATCATCATCATAAGGTCGTCAGTCCTAAGACTGGTTGGACACGCACCTCCACTCTTTCCTATCCTCAGCTAATCTTCGCATTTCCCTAAAACTAGAACATCCCACATTTTTAACTATTTGTGAACAGTAATCTAATCTAGGTCTACCTCTACTCCTCCTAACTCCTGTTTCTGACTCTAATATGTCTCTGACTAGACCTTCAAGCCTGAGAAGGTGTCCTATTAACGTATCTCCCATACTTTTTATTGAACGCTTCTGGCTTGTCCTTTCCACGGCGCCCACCGTCTGTGTTTCGCACCCGTACAGCGCTGCGCTCCAAACATACACCTTTAACAATCTTTTTCGAATTTCTTAATTAACCATTCATGAGCATAGAAGTCACTTCCTTTTATTGAAGGCGACTCGACCCTGCGCTATCCTCTACTTTATATCCCTACTACTTCTTCTGTTTTGACTTATTTAACTTCATAGATACCTCAAATCAGTCACTTCTTATTTTTAATATTTTTTTTTTCATTGACATTTATTTGTTTTCATACAATATTGTTTTGCCAACACCTCTTCCATCTTATTTAAAGTTATCTCTCTCTCTCTATAATTAATTCGAGTAAAATACATTGGACCCACAAACCCTTTAGTTAATGCGTCGGTTGTTTTGTTTATAATAAACTTTTGTGATAAAAATATTTATTATTAGTATTGTTGCTTCGATGAAGTTGATCGGTTTAAAGTTTTATTTAGAGTGGCAGGGAAGCTGGTGCAGTAGGCGTTCTCCCTAAAATTTTGCGGTTTTAGATCATTACCCTTCACGGGCCATGTAATTTTTACGATTTCTTAGAAAATTCTTGTTCATTTGCATTTATGGACTTTTCGCAAATCTTGAGTTTATTGCTTTTTAATATCTGGCGCCGATATCAAAAAGTCCAAGGTTGACGTTAACACTACGAAAGAGTGAAAGAGCACTACAAAAAATAACAAATTCTGTTTCCGAAAAACGTGATCTATGATAAATGCTTTGATCGCAAGTGAACTTAGTATAATTTGAAAACTGTAAAAATAATTTTTAAGATAGTTTTCTTACCAAAGGAGTATCGTTATTGATCCAATTAATTTATAATAGTAATAATAGATAATTATTTTTAAATGGTACTGTTATAGTCAGTGTTACAATATAAATGATTTATAACGGTTCTCGTATCTTTTCTAATAGCTTTTTTTCCTGTTTTGAGGAAATAACGGTTACATTTAAGTGTCGCCATTGAACTGATTTATTGTTACAATAAAAGTCTTCATTCATCATTCCTGCGGCGCAAAAATACGATATTGTTAAAAGTACCTCGCTTATTTTTCAGCTATTTACCTACAATGAACATCTTTTTTGTTTCTTTGAACCGAAATATACATTTTATATGAATAGATTTTAGTAATTTTATACAGTACGAACTATTTTAACCAGGATCTATTCAAAATTAATAGTTACTCCCTTCTAAATTTTGATTATAGATATTTTTGTCT